CTTCTAGCGGGAAGACCCGATCAGGCTCGGAATCCCGGTTACAAGACATCCTCGACAATGGTAAAACAAGTCCAGCAAGACCAGCCGATGCGCCGACATCCCAATAGGAGCTGAACATATCTCGTTCTCAGGGCACACCGGATAAGCTAAGCGTACGTGAGCCAACGTAACCCAAGTTGCCAAGGGACGGCCCCGCACGGTGCTCTGGGTTAGACCAACACTTAGACAAGCACTGGCCCGGGGGTTTAAAATAAAGATGACCCTCGGGATGCGTGACTCCCAAGGGAAAACGGCTAGATGGCGAATGGTAAAACCAAGGTTGGTCCTTGCTGGAGGAGTTTTATTCCAAGCGAACTGTCAAGGGGTTCCCACTATAACCCAACCGCGTAAGGAACGCAAAATCCGGGAACATAACACCGATATGACGGAAACTAGGGCGGCAAGAGTGGAACAAAACACCAGGCATAAGGCCAAGCCTTCCACCCTTTACCAAGTATATAGATGCATTAATTAAATAAGAGATATTGTGATATCCCAACAAAATATCCATGTTCCAACATGGAACAAGCTCCAATCTTCACCTGCAACTAACAACGCTATAAGAGGGCTGAGCAAAGCGGTAACATAGCCAAACAATGGTTTGCTAGGACAAGGTGGGTTAGAGGCTTGGTTCAACAATATGGGAGGCATGATAGCAAGCGGTAGGTATCGCAGCATAGGCATAGCAAAAGAGCGAGCAACTAGCAAGCAAAGATAGAAGTGATTTCGAGGGTATGGTCATCTTGCCTGAAATCCCGCAAGGAAGAAGAACGAGTCCATGAAGAAGACAAACAGACGTAGTCGAACGGGTCCTCACAAACGCGACGTTATCGTAACCAACCCGAAGAAGAAAACACCGGAAAGAAGCACACAACATAGTAAACAACCAACACATGAACATGGTATGATATGCGGGATGCGGTATGCGATGCATATGCATGGTTTGCAAAGGAATGATTGAACCTGGCCTCAACTTGAAAATTCAAGAGTGCCACTGGAAAGGTGAGGTGATTTCGGTTAAATCGATCTAAAGATCACCGGAATTGGATGCACGGTTTGGAAATGGCAAGCAAAACAAATATGGCACCGGTCTGCGATAATCAGCAAGTAGCCATCTAGATGCATCAAGATAAATATGCTACAACACTTAAACATGGCAACAAAATACATGGCAGGGATCCACTCAAGAAGCTTGACAGAAGATGAACACTGAGCTACGGTTAATTCATCCATTAATAGGTTCAAACAAGCATGGAAAAAGTGCAAAAGATAACAGGTTTCAGACTTAGTGAAATTAACACAAGTCTGGAATTTATCATGAGGAAACATACTTTAGAGCATGAAAACTACATGCTACAGGAACATAACATGGCAAAGCAAGGCATGGCATGAATCTACTCAAAGCACTTAACAGAAGTCCCTTAGTGACCTTGAGCCAAAAGGGATCAGAAAATACAATTGCAAGCATGTGAACATAGCAAAAACATAAACAGATCTCAGACTTAGTGAAAAACTGGAGTATGCAAATCAGTTAACGAGTAGGCATGTTTACGAGCTCGATGCACTCACTACAGAGCATGACATAACAACTAAGCATACTCCCATCAAGAAAACATGACATAGGAGCTAGACATGGCAAGAATAACAACATAGTGTACACGGATCAATAGCAACATCCTCGACAAAATCGCTAATCATGTCAACAATCTGCTAGGATTCACTTTATAGCAAAAGTAGATCTCGATTGACTCAAGCTAGGATGCTCCATAATTGCAAAAAAAGAAATGGATGGATAGAGCACCACAATTTTAACAAAACATCCTTACTGATCATCCTCAAAAGAGGCACGGATCACTAGGAAACAACATGAACATATGGCATAACGACAAACACAGAACAAGGACTTAGTGAAATTCTAAGTCCCTGAAATCAGCATTACCGATTACGCTACTTTGCATGCTTGTGCTAGTCACCAAAAATATCACAAAAATACATGGCAAGCACCTCTGTAAAGATGGCATGGCATATAACGAAACACATGTAAAGCTCAGGATCATAGCATGCACACATTAATCATGGTAAAAATGACAAAATACCATTTGCTGAAACAGATCTGACAAATTACTCACATAGCCCTTTTCCAACGACATTTCGGGCATCAAGATGAGCTCAAATGAAAATGATACAGTGAGATAAAATGATGTACTTGTCGAGGCGAACATTTTGATATGCTTCTACGATGAGGGATTTATGATGCGATGAATATGGGAATGTGATAAGATGGAAAAAGGTCTTAGGCGTTTCGAAAAAAAACAAATGAGCGCGTTTTAGAAATACAACGCTCAAGGCGGCGGGTAGCAGGGCTTCTCACCCGCGTGGCCTTGGGCCGGAGAGAGACGGAGCTGAGCCAGGTGGTTGCCGCAGCCCACGCAGAGGGAGGTCTTCCTCCTCCTCGTGCACTCGCACGAGCAAGGCGGTCACGGCGGCGTCAGGAGGAAAACCGGCGAGGGGAGGTGTCGGCGGCGGGACCTGGCGAGGATGGCGAGGTCAGAAATGGGTTGCCGGCGGCCAGATCCGACAGTGGGCGGCCGAATCGGGGCACAGACGGCGCTCCGGCGAGCTAGCACGTCGGCAAGGTTGGGAGAGAACTCCGGCGACTGCGCCAAGGTCCGATGTGGTGCCTAGCGTCAGATCCGAGCCTGGGAGGATCCGGTAGGGCGGCACGGGTCGCCGGCGGTGAGGATAAAGGCGGCGGGGGCCGCAAGGCGATGGCGGCGCAGGCGGGTACTCTGGCGAGGAGGCGAAGGCCACCGGCGATGGAGGCACGAGCGCGCGGTAGACCGGCCGGGCTCCGATGGGCTCGGGCGGGCCGGCGCGGTGGGAGGCACAAAGAGACGACGTGGCGTGTTGTGGTTGGCTGCGGAGATGGAGGCGGACATGTCCGGCGAGGAGAAATTTGTCCGACGGCGCGGAGAAGAGAGATCTAGGGTTTGTACCGCGGAATTTTCGGGGGAGGCCACATATTTATAGGTAGAGGGAGTTAGGAGAGTCCAAATGAGGTGCGGTTTTCGGCCACACGATCGTGATTGAACGACCGAGATGATGGAGGGGGTTTTTGTGGGTTTTGGGCCACTTTGGAAGGGTGTTGGGCTGCAACACACACAAGGCCTTTTCGGTCCCTCGGTTAACCGTTGGAGTATCAAACGAAGTCCAAATGGCACGAAACTTGACAGGCGGTCTACCGGTAGTAAACCAAGGCCACATGACAAGTCTCGGTCCAATCCGAAAACGTTTAACACCCGCACACGAAAAGAGGTAGAAAGGACACCGGGTAACATAGGAGCGGCGGATTGCAAAACGGACAACGGAAAAAATGCTCGGATGCATGAGACGAACATGTATGCAAATGAAATGCACATGATAACATGATATGTAATGCATGACACGCAAGCAATGACAAGGCAACAACAACGAATAACTGGAGGACACCTGGCACATCGGTCTCGGGGCGTTACAGTCTTTTATTTGCATCATTGCTACACATAGCTTGATGGACATGAAAAGTGGACAAGATGGAACTATGAGACATCATTGAAGATGCAAACGCTCAACACTAATGTTGTTGATGACGATGAGCTGGTAGAGAACCCATCCACTCCTTATGTCTGATTGGATGGTGAAAAATTGCAAAGCAAACCAAGAAGAATGGTGGTGTTGGCGATGGAGGCAGTGACTATGATGGTGTCGATGTGGATGATGGGATTGCATGAGGCCCATGCTACGACAACTTTAAGTCCATCATGTGTTGGTGGTTCTTTTGGAACGAACTTGTTCATTCGGTGCCTTTTGGCACAAACTATGGCTGCGTTTGATGGATTGGATGAACTTTATATGCCCTAGTTCAATTAAGATATGGTGTATTTGAATTGTTTATGTTTGCTTGGAAAATATGATGATTATGTTTCAATTGTTTGACCAAAGGTTTGGAAGAATTGGCAAACCAAAATTTTTGGGAGGTCAAACTATAGGGAATCTGCTAGCCGAGTAAAAGTTTCCTTAATATTTGACTCGTTGGGATAGGAAGAGAGTTTGAGGGATTAAGTCTAGGGCCTTTGCTAGAGATGCTCTTAGCAGCTTCAAACACTCGCGTGAAAAAAATTGTACACCAAGAAGAATTGTATTTCTTTTCATGATTTCCTGTAACGCCCTTAATTAGGATATCTTTTTTTACAGAATTTTTTTTTGATGTATTCATCAATTTTTAAGGTAGTACAAAGAACATCAAAAGTAAAAATTACATATCTAGCTTCGCCGACCACCAAACGACGACTACAAGCACTACAGCGAGCCGAAGGCGCCCCTCCCTCACCGAAGCTAGGCAAACCTTGTTGTAGTAGACAGTCGGAAACATCAAAAGATCAACGCACCAGAACAACAACCACCGTCGATGAAAAGAAGCGTAGATTAGAAGGATTAAACCTGTAGACATGCGAACGCAGACCGGATCCACATGCATCCACCGAAGACAAAACGACGACTTCCCGCGAGATCCGTAGACAAATCTTCATACGACCTCCGACGATACTAGAAGCACCGCGGGGACGGGGGCTAGAAGCACCACTGGGATAGGGGCTAGACGGGGAAAACCTCATTCCATCTTCAGAGAGCCACCGTCGCCTGACCTCTCTGAGCAGGACACAAACCCTAAAAAAACTCAAAAAGACTTTAAAAACAGAGCCCTCCGGCAGACAAGGGCCGGGATCCACTGTGCGTCCATGATCCTGAGGCCACAGGAGACTAAACAAATCTCAACTAAACAAATCCACAGAGCTAGTCATTTTATTGATCATATTTATAATGTTTACATATAGCTTAGCATCTTTAGTACTCACATACAAAAATTGTACACCAAGCAGAATCTACAAATTACTTTGCATGCTTTTCTAAGAGAAAAAAAACGATCACTTCGCATGCTTGAGGTTTGCATCGGACAGCATGCCTTCGATGGCGGCCTTCCAGACCTTGCAGTGCGTCTGGTCCTCCAGCAGCAGCTGCACCGTCCCGGCCGACGTGTTCAGGGCCACCGCGAAGCACCTCCGGCCGTCGACCACCGCCTCGCGGCCGCCCCCCGTCGACACCCCGAGTAGCTCGTCTGGACCACGACAAAACGCGCCACAGAGAAAGAAATCACGTCAGTAAGGCAGCCGGACACGTAGAGGAGACGAATCGTCGTCGACTTGCCGATGTCTCAGTGTGTGTGCAAGTGGCCGGAGTCCGGAGCGCGACGTGCCGCCACGGCTGGACCACGCAAAATCCATGCATGGCGACGACGAGACAAGACCTAGCTATCCTGGAGGGGAACATTTCAGGTTCTGCGTGTAGGGGGCCGTACGGTGCGAGGCGACAAGCGGCGCGTGCGCGCAGGTGGAGCGAGGGGAAGACGACGGCGAGCGCGCGTGGTGCGGTCATGATTTATGAGTGCATGGCGAGGCAACAACAAGACGACGACGAGCATCACATGCTGCTTTTTCAAAGTAGAGACAGTTTAAAGGGACGGGCTGCGCGTTTGTGTGGCGCGGATGCGTCGTGATGATCAGATGATGCTTGCGTCGTCGTAATCATGGTAGAAAATTAATATCTTAGTAGTATCTTACGGTCGTCGTAGGTGGCGAAGGCCCCGCGCAGCCGCTTCCTCCCCAGCCTGAGCGCCACCGCGCCGCCGCCTCGCCGGGGGAAGACGGACACCGTCCTCACCCGTACCTTTCCTGCAAACCAATGGCGGGTCTTAACTTGTTAGGTCTGTAGTTCCCAGTCGATCGATCACATTTACAGCAATGGCGCCCGGCCGAGACGTGTCAATACTGCATGCTCTTACCGCAGGGTAGGCAGACCCTGAGGGCGATGCCTTTCTGGATGCTGGCGCTGATGCTCATGGCCATCGCGTTGGCGTTGGCGTTGACGTTGCCATTGGCGCCGGTGCTGATCCCTCTGACGTCCGCGGCCCTGAGCTTCAGCGCGGCGGCGCCCCGGAGGCACGTCGCGGCGGTGGCGGTCAGCGTGAGGAGCTCGGCGGGGGAGCGGCTCTCGAGGCCGGTCTTCACGGCGGAGGTCACACGGGGCCGGTTGGCGCCGGCGGACTCGGCGGCTTCCGCGCAGACGGTGGCCACCAGCGCGGCGGCCGACGCGAGCACCGCGCCCAGCTTCTTGTCCCCCCGCAGGTCGCACGCCGACACGACGCCGGCGATGGCCGCGGCGAGCTGGGCCACCGAGACGGCCGCGTGGGCCTGCGCCGAGTGCAGCCGGAGCTCGTCCCGCCGCCGCCGCCTCCGGCTCCCCGTGATGGAGACGTTGTCCAGGAAGTAGCCGCGCAGGAGCGCCTTCATCTGCCCAACGTTCAGCTGCCAAAGCATCCACTGTTGTCAAATCCGACAATATGCTAACTGAGTAACGTACTATCACAGTATCACTTCACTGCTCTGCACTTAACCAGCTGGAGTACTATACCCTTCCTTTTTCTGCTTATTAATTCAAGTGTCCTTTTTTCTTGCACAATTAAGAAACGACAGTGCTTGTTAAGGACGGTCTAACTGTACCGATCTCTAAAACGACAAGTAAGAAAGATCAGAGGCGGCACGGCGTGCGTACATCCTAATATCCTACACTGTTTGGCAGTGTTGATACAGTGTACAATCTACACTATTTGGCTGTTTGTTATACTACTGTGCGGCCATGTTAGTGTTGTCCTTGTGCTTAATTAATTCCTTGTGCTGTTGTCCTTACCCATATAGGCTGGTTCAGCTTAGTCTTGCGCTGCTTGGAGCCAGGCTTCCCACTGGCCAGAACTCTCTGTCAGATAAATAAACCAAGAAAAGTTAAATTGACCATCACAGGGAAGATCATAAGATGTCTTTTCAACTGCCATTAAAGGTCAGCAAAAACTCACCCACGTCTGAATCTGATTGAACAATTGGCTTTTACCGCCATCGACTCGAATCGCATCGAGCTCTTTCTCTCCGTCTTCGTCTTCCTTTGTCTCGCCTTCTCCATGGTGGTCTTGTGCTGATGCTCCTAGGCACTGTTTGGTAGAAGAGAAAACCCAGCAGTCAGAAGGTGGTATTTTAATGAACATTCATAATCTACACATGAGAAATGCAATAGAAAGTAGTACTCCCTCAGTCCGGAATTAACCGTCGCTGAAATGAGCACTCAGTTCAGCGACAGTTAATTCCCGACGGAGGTTGTACATGCTAATATATTACTACAACCGTTAGTTTTTCGGCAGTAACCATCTTTTAGAAATTTTCTGGATCTTATGAAAAGAGAGCACGCGCACCGAGTAATACGAATGCACTGTGTCCCAGTGAGTTGCAAAGTATAATGAAACGACCTCATGCTAGATTATCAACGTTAGCCGCCTCTGTTGTTTAATGGAATGGGAGGTGTGGTCCATGTAAACATACACTGGGAGTGAGTATTTGAAAGAGATCCGAGGAGGAGGGGTTCCATGTCCGAGAGAGGAACTCCATCGCCTGCTCAGGGATCACGGGCATCTCTTCGCCTTTCGGGGATCGCATCGACGACTTTTCCTTGCGACGGATGCCCGCCTTCTGCGCATCGATCTGCGTGTTCTCTGCCTGCTTTGACATTCAGCACATGATCACTGAGATGGTTAGTCACTAGCTAAGACATCAGAACATGCAAATAGAGATGCAGTAATAGTGTTGCTCAAACATCTAGTGCACCATGCTGACTACAAAAAAAGAAGATGTTCCTTTCTCTGAATCCTGTCATAAGATGCAGTTGTCCAAAGATACAAACAGTGCTTAAGATTTGTATGATTTATATTATAATAGGATTAGGCCACACATCTATGCATATTATATACTGTATAGAGCTAAAAAAAGTTTATCTTATGAGAAGAGTACGAAGCAAGCAGGAAAGTTTCATCACCATTTGACAGGACAAGGAGTGGCATCTCTGGAAGGGGGCCGTCCCAAACTCAACTCCTCTCCTGAAATGCTCCATCTTATCACCCACGTAAAACGGACTCCACCTAAAGATTTAGCAGAATCCGGTTGATCAATGAGGATGGAGTAATGAGAGCTCAAAGATCATGCCTATTTATAGTCAGGGCCAAGTTCTTGTCGTCCACTAAATGTGATATCAAGATCCTACCAACAGTATAACCCCTTCACAGTATCACGATTCGTCGTTCTCGCTACGGACAATTTGCTAGAGAACAGGCACTAAAGAACAGCTGCAATTATTAGATTATTAAAAAGCATTGTCTAATTGACACTGTAGGCAGAGAATTATTGGAGAGCCAAGTTTCAGGTGAGACAATCTGTTTTTCCATGCTAAAATGTTGAGATAATCTACATGGTTATCTATCTGATTAACACTTGCAACATTTCCTTGAGCAGTACCTTAACACTGGAACTGGCCTCAGTGGCCTAAACATCATATATATGCTAAACGACAAAATAATATCAGCAGAGACAAATCCTGGTTTAAATGGTGGATACTTCAGAGGATTTAGGTACCAATTTTACAAGAAGCAAAATAAGGCCAGGAAGAACTGTGATAGTAGTAGCAGTAAGCAATGAACATGAAACTTAGCCTGAAGATAAGGGCTGTAGATAAGGAAGGCTTACCTTAGTAGGAAGCCCTGGATGCACCGATGTTGTGACACCTGCATTGGTTCAAGTATTTATATCACAACCTCAACCTAAAAAAGGTAGTCGCAAGCGGCGATCGCACTGCATTAGCAGTAAGTAAGAGTAATCTAGTATTATGATTGCCAGCCCCACAGGATCCATCTTGCACTTATTATACACCTGAAACCGCCTCGTTTCGACGTCCGGTTGGGTCGACCTTTCTTCATCCAGGATCTCTGCTGCTCGAGCAGAGTAGTAAACTGCGGAAAAGGGGGCAGATTCGCATACTTCTTCTGGAATTGATCTCTGAAGACTGGCCAACAAGGCCTGAACTGATGTGGATTAGACAGGGGAGATGGTCCTGCTAATAGGTAATGGCAATTTGGCATGGTTTATCATTGCCACTTATGGTATGTGCGAATGGAAAATGTGCGGTGCTGTACCGCGTGCTTCGTTAAAAAGGGAAGTGTTTTGGTGTATGTGTTGGTCACAATGCAAATTATGCAATGGATGGTAGCCAGGCAATCTGCTCTGATGATGTAGAGAGATCTGCAAAGGCAAGGTGAATGAATGATTGTGACGCCGAAGGAAAGGGAGGATTACCACTGATTTGAGATGATCATCCATAACGAAAGCTTACGCCTAAAGCAACTCTCTAGTGCTTTACAGTGTAGTGATGGGATATAATCTAATGGTTTCCACAGGTGTGAACAATGTACTACTGTCAATGTGTTGGGCGATGCGGGGTTCTTGTTAGTTTAAGTGTGCTACTCATTGTAGCTGGTGACAAGTGTTGAGCATTTGGCTGCCCAGACAAGGAGAGGGCAGAAACCTTGCTATACTCCTTGCATTCCCAAAGACTGCAGTACTAACGTACTAGTACATGTGAGTGGCATTTTTACATGACCAGCTGCACTAAAAAGGTGATCAGATCATCAGATCATCAGATAGCACATACTATGAACGGAACCATATGGATCAGGCCAGTGACCGGTGGATTCGCCTCCCCTAATCGACGCGCAGGCGCATCGTCGCCGCGCTTCTGATAGAGGCCAGCAGATATCTGCTCCCAAATTGGCGCAGCAAATTGTACAGGCTACAGAGTTGTCCAAGAGGAGAAATGATAGGCACTGACTGACCTGACCTTTGCTGCCTCCTGCCTGTAAGTGGCGTTTGAGCCTGTTGGGAATTTTTGCTTCTTGTGCTGAGCGTGGAGATGAGATAACCCCCACGCAACGACTAGCAGCCTGATGGTAGTTCGTGAGCCGATGCTTGATCACTAATTGCCGTCGTAATCCCGGAATTGAAGCCACGGATTCGTGTAGCCGTTGAGAGAAAGAGTCGGGAGCTGGGCCCACCAGAAATGGTCCACCGGGTCAGAAAAATAATAAAAACACAAAATTCAGTTCCTCTCTAGCGGAATACCCTATTTGACGCATGACGCGGACTTGGGCCGGCCCATTTAGCATTCTAAAACATCCTGTGTTGGTTTTTTTTCTTTCTTCGGTTGTTTTTCTCTGCCGGTTTTGTCAGGTTCTCTTTTCCCTTGCAAAAAGTGCTCATCTTTAAAAAAAGTCTTTAGAAAATATATTCGAATTTTCAAATCTGTTAGTTTTCTATATTTTTTCGTTTTTAAAAAATGTTCGTGTTTTTCACCCGCAAAAAAAAATGTTCGGTTTTTCTAAAAAAAACTGTTAGAAATTTAAAAATTACATTTTTAAACAATTGTGTATTTCAAAAATGTTCAAGATTTTCAAAACAAACCATGTTAAAAAATTAGGAATTAAAAAATAATATTTTCAAAAAAAAACTCAAAACTTCAAAAATTAGTTCACTTGTTATATTTAATAAAATTTTCGTGGTGTTTTTGGAAAGCCAAATAAAAAAACTGCCGATACCCCAAATAATTGCAGTAGGAAAAATATCTAACTGCTCGCTATTCTGTCACAACTTTTGTTTAGACAAACATGCAAAGCTTTATTATATCGTCACATTGTAATTTATGCTACAGCTTCTAGTGTTAATGGGCCAGTCCCGCTCACCCGCTCCTGTGCGGGAGGTCGATAATTTGACACGACAACCGTGAGATTGTACCTCCCCTCTCTAGCAATGCCTCATTCGCATAAATTACATTTTTGGAAAATGCCCATATTTTTTATTTTCAGGCAAGGTTTGGTTGCATCCCAAAAGAAAGTCATAAGTCTTTGGACCGGTAAGTAAATAATGGTCGAGCAATGTTTTTTGTGTGTGCGCTCTAGCGGAAACCTCAACCTGGTTTTCGTAGAAGTAATATACTAATATGGATCGGTAAAGTTGTACTAAAGCTGCGATAAGTAAGATGGATGGGAGGGAGTACTTTAGTTTACCACGCTAACTCCTCCATAGTATGCCTGTATTGCCAAAAAAAATTCAAATGATTTATCTATGTATACATATCGCCCTGATACAGATACGCTTATCCATATCGGCGCAATTTATAGAATTAAACATACACACCAACTGCGACAAACGCATTTTTTTTCAACCCGAAAAATAGTGCAAACAGAGATGCACGCAGTGACGCAGGCATATATCATCAGTTGATTCCGCCCAATTATTCTTCAGAGTATGCATTAAGAAGTAATACAGACGTACTACATGAGAGACAAGAAATGTTCAGGTTCTTCATGGGAGGGTGAATTTAGGCAGATGGCAGTTCAGTTTGCAGACCGCATGGGTTGCATAGCACTTTCCCTTATTGTTGCCATACAAGCAGCAGTAACACAAGTCGCATGGCCGCATCAACTGCCTCTCACACGAGAATATGTCCGGCCCATGTCCTTGACCTGTAAAATAGTTCCAAGATTAAGAACCAAATCGACCATGGCGATTCATGAGGAGGGAATGTGCAGCGCTGAGACGCTGCAACTTACTCTGAGCGCGAGATGCGAAGCATCCGAGAAGAACCAGGAAAAGCACCAGGAACTGGAAGGCCGGCTTCATGTGGTAGCTCGCCATTCGTGCACGCGCAGGTGGTTCAAGATCGTCAGATAAGATGAGAGTGCGTACTGCTCACAGGATGGTTTGATCCACCGTTGACGTCGATGCATATATATAGGCAGACATGCGTTATGTTTGTTGCTTCCAATCTTATCTAATTCACCGGGGCCGTCGTAATCCCGGAACTGAAGGCACGAGTTCGCGTAGCCGTTTGAAGTCAGAGGGTCCAGAAATACAGAATTTAGTTCCTCTCTAGCCCTCTCTAGCGGAATACCCTATTTGACGCATGACACTTGGATTTGGGCCGGCCTATTTAGCAGCTCTTGCTACTCCGGTTTCAGGAACACCACTGATTGCTTGTGCATTGCAACGGACGTGCACTCTAGTGATTCAACATCAATCTTGGACATATACCTTACATTAATTTTGCTAACATTCAAGTTGATGGGAGTATGGGTAGAAGAAGGCAAGGAAAGTTTTGACTTAGTACAAATTTTGGTAAGATTGATTTGACCGATTGAGTTAATGCAGGACGGGGTTTTGGAAAAGTACCAATCTGGTTTAAATTATTTCAAATTAATATATTCATGTTGGTTTTTATCTTGTACGGCATCGGTTAAGGTTACCAAAAGTACTAACAGGAAACCAAAGGGGGAGGAAAACGTGGGAGAAAAACCGGTGGTAGGTGAAGGCGACGGAACAAACTCTCATTTAGTAGTGGAGATTCTAGAACATTATGTGTTGGTTTTTTCTTTCTTCGGTTGTTTTTCTCTGCCGGTTTTTCTGGTTTTGCTGGGTTCTTTTTTCCCTGCTGTTTGATTTTTTTATAAACTTAAAAAATGTTCACAATTTTAAAAATTGTTCCTATTTTCAAGAAGTGTTTATAAATTTTAAAAAATATTGCATTTTCAAAATATGTTCAAATTTTTCAAAATTGTTCACCTGGATACTGATATGCGTATCCACATCAATGCAATTTATAGAAGTAAACATATGCATAAACTGTGATACAGGAACGATAACCTCCATTATTGATACTACTACCTTCATTCTACTTTATTAGTCGCCACCGTATTTTGGATTACAATTTGACCACATATTTGACTAGCAAAATAATGCATGTCACCAAAAATTATATTGTTAGATTCATATTAGAATGTAGTGTCCAATGATTTTTTTTTGCTATGTATAACTTATATTTTATTAGTTAAAATCATAGTCCAAATATGACGTAAAATATGAAGAGAACTGGTAAATCAGGATGGAGGTAGTATTAGAGCTGAGCCAGTTAAAAAAATTAAGCCATTATAATGGAAAAGTTGCAGAAAATAATATTATACATGCAACCATATTTCATCAAGGAAACGATGATTGTGTGTATCAGTTGTTCGGGCCGGGAATTAATTCTGTAATTAGCAAGCCAAAGATGAATTATGTGACGCATGCATTATATTCAAGGGATGTGATTGACACGTTGGTGGATGGTTCTGTACGCACAAAATCTTGAATTGTACGACCTCAGTTTCAAGAAAAAAATAGTTTTAAAAAATAAAGAATTGTACGACCAAGAAAAACAAGAAACTAGGGAGGATCGCACTGGTCGAGGTGCTTCCATTACTTGGAAACGATGCCACTGTTTTGCTAAGTGAATAAAGGAGGAGAAGTTTGTAAAAAAAACCAGGGTGGATCAGCATGGTGCAGTAAGGCAAAAGATCAAACATGTTTCGATTTTAAACTGCATTTAAAATCTTACCAGCTGATATATATCCATCAAAGGAGGAAACATGACATTTTTTTTTGAGCAAAAGAGGGTTTTTCCCTCCGATTT